TGTGTTTGCGGGTCTGCAACTTGCTAAATAAGGTTTCCGAATTCTTTGTTGTCGTCTGCTTCTTCGTCATCATAAATTTCAATCTTGAAGCCCCCTAACGGAAACATTCGAAAGCACAAAATTGTCGATCAGAAACGTTATGGAAAGAAGAAAACTCAATGTCTTGATCGTTGAAGAAGTGATAATGCAGTGTGCTTCACCGCAATTGAAGTTGATGATCCCGATCATTTGTTTATATCCGGGGTCATTGCACTGCCCAGACATTGCACGATGCGAGGTCATGTGGTGTGAAAATCTTAATCAGTTGCTATTGTTTTACACGGGATGTTACTTGTAGTGTGAGATTTGTTATCGTTTCTGTGACGTTCACGGTAAATTGAACACAATGCACACTTTTTAGATCGGGCACACCGGATTACTAGATAGCGGATGTGGTGCAACTGGTCGGATGGCCGATGTATTCAGTGTGACTATTGGACCTGGGACCGATCAATGCGGTCGGAGTTCGGAGTAGACAGTGGTCGGATTTCACAGGTTGTTTTAACATAGGTGTCTATGGAAAAATTTCGGGACTACATAAATCGGTCGGTTCTGACAGTAGGTCGGTTTATCCAGGGGTCGGTTTTGACAGGTTTTACTGTATATAAACAATGTATTTTACACGCGTTGTATATAGGACACGGCGAGATGGCTGCCGCCCTTTAAGTGGTTTACAGTACACGTGTGTTACGATGTGTATCCATTGTCAAGTATTTTGACAACACAGAAGATTATATGAAAGCGAAATTTGTTGTGAAATGTTATAGGCATTAAAACATTGACAATCACTATAACATGTAGCAAAGTTAAAAAAAACAAATTTCTGGCTTCTAGTGTGATCACAATGATCATTTTTGAGTATCACTAAAGATTTTCTCGTACAGTAGTCAAGAATGCGAGAATGTTCAAATTCATCTGTAAATGTACAACTCTGTCCATTTATCTGACTAATAAATATGTCTCAGATATACAACTTTATGGGAATGTTTAAAGTTGACAGCCATCAGTACTATTCCCAGTCTATTGTTCTGTCGTCACCTCTGAATAATCTCTGTCCTGTCGTCATGTAACACTTTTTCCTGTTTCTTCTAGACCTATGAAAACCATATGAGAGGACAACGACACAAACGTAAAATGGAAAACATCAAACAACTTTCCGAGTTTCAAACTCAACAAGCCACTGCACGGTTGCATGCAGAGCAGCATATAAAGAATATACTTGGAGAGTAAGTTCACATGACCTATTTACATATATTATGACCTAATTTGAATACACATGTCCTAATTTACATATATAATATCACATGACCTAATTTACATATATATTCATAATATTATATGTTGTTAGTATTCTCGGATGTCTGGACATTCAGACATTTTCACCATTTCATTACCGATGAAAACAAAATCTCACTTGGATCTGTACTTTGGGCTAGTTGTGTATTAAACAAGATTACTCCTACATTTAAATTTGGTTACTCAGGATTTCCTCAAAGTTGAGTTTGTGCTGTTTCCTTGACTTCAGCTTATTTTACCAGCTCCCTGACTGGCATTTCACAGCAGCTTTGCGCATATCCCATAAAAATACTTTGTAGTGCGTTTTCGAGCAACATAGAACATTCTCCGTCCCGAAGATAGTGGTGTTTTGTCATGGCTCTTGCTTGTCTGATGAAATCAATTTGTCTTTAAAAACTGCCATGCTCTCAAAGCGTATAAATACGTCTTGGGATAAGTACATCTATATGCATCCATTTGTTTCACGATTCAATTCAATTCAAGATGGCCCACTGACAGCCATTTTCATGTAAAAAATTTATAAAAATCAACCATTTCTGCCATCAAAGAACCAAATCCTGGATAAGCTATCACCCTTATTCGGTCAGCCCCATGTAATTTCCGACTGAGTTGCAGGGCTTTCATTAACAGCCGGCAACCGGCCAAAGTGTCCGCCTACTTGCTGCGGGTTTGCCGGCTACTTTTTTATTAAAATAAAAACAAAATGTTTATTTTTCCTTTGAAGATGAAACCATAAAATCATGTCCCATAGAACTAAAACATGCGTTCTGAGGCTTCCCCAGATACAACAAATTACGTACGCAATGTGATCATTAAA